AGAGAGAGAGAGAAAGAAAGAAAGAAAGAAAGAAAGAAAGAAAGAAAGAAAGAAAGAAAGAAAGAAAGAAAGAAAGAAAGAAAGAAAGAAAGAAAGGATAATTTTTGCAACTTTGCACTGGGACAAAAGAGAAGTTGACAATAGACCAACTCATTGTGGGATCAAGAGCTTAAAGGTGTTAACTCACTTGAAAGACTGCTTTGAAAAGACAGCTCCAGGGTGCCCTAAACACACAGTACCACCTAAGGAAGTATTTCCCCAATCTCAGTCACAGAGGCATTCAGAGACCACTACAGATGTAGTCTTGGGTGGCTGAGTGTGGCTGGCTACTGCTCAAGCTGGTGACAGACCTTGACCTCTCCATGTAGTGTTGATTTTTCAAACAGGCAGGCAGGATGCAAGACTTGCAGGATCATAAAGACTACTCCAAGATTTCAAAGAGAGGTGAGGGTGAAGTTAGGTTATAGGGATGTTAGAGGTGCCAGGGCCAGGAACGGCTGCTGGTGAGAACTGAAAGTAGCAGAGGCAGACCTGAAAAGATGCCACCTGTAAATGGCAAGGCCGTGGGGTGGAGGGGTTCAAAGCACTGAAGCACACACATCATGCCAACACATGCCCTAGCTACTGGACATGTCTTACTGAATTTCGGACTTGCTTTTATCTGATCCTTCCTTCTTCCCACTCTACTCTTTAGGAATGGGAATATTTACTCTGTGTAATTGAGTAATGTAGGTATATAATGTTTTTTTTTTTTTTCATTACATCCCACAGCTAAGAGTTAACCTGAATCTTAGACTTTGAACTTGGGTTTTCAAGGAAGGTTGTTAAGACTTTGGATATGCTTGGAGATAGACTAAGTTCATTTTGTATTACAGGATGAAAATGAGCCTTTGAGAGCCAGGAGCAGAATATTATGGTTTGATTATAAAATACTCCCTATGTTTATGTGTTGAAAACTTGGGCCTGGATGACTGTACTATTTGGGAAGGCTCTAGAAATTTTGGGAAGTGAGACCTGTCCAGAAGTAAGTTCTTTGCCATAGTTTGTCTCTGGCACATCTATTCTCTTACCAGTCAGTCAGCCAGTCTGTCTGTCTATATGTCTCTCTCTCCCTCCTCACCTCCCCTTTGTATCTGTCATGAAGTGAACAGTTCTTCTTTCACATATTCCATGCCATGCTTTCCAGTATAAGAACAGAATCAAATGATCACGAACATAACCCTCTAAACTTTGGGCCAAAATAAATCATTCCACCAAGTTTTCATCAGAGCTACACAAATGTATCTAACACTGTATCTTATAACTGACATAGATCTATTTATAAGATTACATGAGTAATGACAAATAGTAAAATTCTTAATGTTATAGCCACCATTTCCACTAGCAAAAGGAAATGGGGCATTGGCTTAGAATTAAAACTCTTCAAAAAAATAAGATATTTTAGAAAGATATCATGTGCTCCATAAGCTTTTATTCTGTAATATTCCTGCAATGTCAGCTGGATGCAAGGCAACAATGCATATGTGTTAAAGGCAGGAAAAGCTCCGAGCTCTTCCATATACTACCTGTGGGGCCTTAGGAAACTTGTTTAGTTTTTCTTCTCTCCATTACTTGCTGCAGTTATGGAAGGATTAAAGCGAGATGATACATGGAAGATGCTTAGATTACTACCTCTCATAAAATAAATATGCAGAAAGTGTTACCCATTTTCAGATTTTTCTTTTTATTAAAAAATGTTTATTTGTTTTACATGCCAACCACAGTTTCCCCTCCCTCCTCTCATCCCATTCCCTCCCTCCACCTTCTTTCTACTCCCGCCTCCCATTCACTTCTCAGAAAAGGGGCAGGCCTCCCATGGGAGTCAACAAAGCATGGCATAACAAGTTGAGGCAGGACCAAGCTCCTTCCCCACGTATCAAGACTGAGCAAGACAACCCACCATAGGGAATAGGTTCCAAAAAGCCAGCTCATGTGCCAGGGACAGATCTTGGTCCCACTGCTAGGGGCCACAAACAGACCAAGCCACACAACTGTCACCCACATGCAGAGGGTAGTCCAATGTAGTCTCCCTAGCTGTTGGTGGACAGTCCGTGAGCTTCCCCAACCTGGGTCAGCTGTCCCTGTGGGTTTCCCCATCATGATCTTGACACCCCCCCCCTTGCTCATATAATCCCTCCTCCTTCTCCTCAACTTGACTCTCAGAGCTTGGCCCCGTGCTTGGCTGTGGATCTCTGCATCTGCTTCCATCAGTTACTGGATGAAGGTTCTAAGATGACAATTAGGGTAGTCACCAATCTGATTACAGGAGAAAGCCAGTTCAGGCACCCTCTCCACTATTGCTAGGAGTCTTAGCTGAGGTGATCCTTGTAGAGTCCTGGAAGATTCTTTTTTAAGATCTTTATCTTTTCTTTTTTAATTAATTAATTAATTTATTTTAACTTCATTTGCATTGGTGTTTTGCCTCCAAGTATGTCTGTATGAGGGTGTCAGGACCTCTGGAACTGGAGTTATAGATGGTTGTGAGCTGTCATGTGGGTCCTGGGAATTGAATCTGGGTCCTCTGGAAAAGAAACCAGTGCTCTTAACCACTGAGCCATCTTTCCAGCTCCCAGATTTTTCTTATACTATCTTTTTTCTTGGTCTTAGAAATAATTACCTAAGGACAAAGTGGAAAATTTATGGTCCGTGCATCTATACTGCTTTAAGTTAGGCTGTGTTCAGAAGCTGTCTCAGTATGAAATGTCTGCTGCTGAGTTCTGCACAGCTTTGGAGACTGACCTAACTGGGGTGAAGAGAGAATGAGAAAGGACAAACAGACACCCATACAGAAAAGCTGAACTGGCTGGGATGTGTACTTTCTGATGGGACGCAACAGTAATCTGGAACCTCAGTGTGTTTATATTATACAGCTGAATTGAAGAGGTGGGTTTTTGGTATACAGTTTAACAAAGAGGCAGATAGGAGGTCTCTGCAGGGTAGCAGTCTCAGGATGCAGTCATTCCAGAACTGATAGCTACTACACATACTGTCAGCATTTGCACTCAGACCAGAGCAAGGCTTTGTCACTTGAATTGGTCTGAGGCCTTGGGTCCTTGACATGGCTATGTCCATGTTAACAATACACATCCACTCAGGGCTTATCCACTGCTCCCTACAGTCTGTTCTCTCCTGCTGATTACCTTAGTGTCTCTGCTCTTGAGGTCCATGTGTTTCCTCCAACCAATCATTCAACGACACCAATGTCAAGCAGCAACTTCCATTCTAAAGGAAATATTACAGATTTCTTTATCAGATTTAGCTGTGATTATGTTACTAATAACACTGAATGAATGAATAAAGAAAAACTTGGTGCCCAGCAATAGAAGAATGGTTGGCCAAATATCACATGTATAGTATAATTTTGAGAAACAAACAAACAAACAAACAAAAAGTTCTATAAAAATAGTGTTGAGAAAGGAAGTTCTTTTTTTATTTTAAAAATTAGGCTCCTGTGTAAGATGTGTCATTGATATTATTTTTTCATGTATATCTTAGTCAATGTTCTATTGTGAAGAGACACTGTAACCATGGCAACTCTTATAAAGGAAAGCATTTAATTGGGGCTTGCTTACAGTTTCAGAGGTTTAGTCCATTGTCATCAAAGCAGACAGCATGGCAGCATGTAAGCAGACATGGTACTGGAGACATAGTTGAGCATTCTACAACCAGATCCACAGGCAGCAGGAAGGCAGAAAAGCCACTGGGCCTGGCTTGGGCTTCTGAAACCTCAAAGCCCCATCCCCAGTGACATACTTCCTCCAACAAGGCCACACCTCCTAATCCTCTCAAATAATGCCACTCCCTAAGCATTCAAATATATATATATGCACAGGCTATGTCAACATCATCACTTGACCCTCTAGCATGACTGGGATGGTCACACTAGAAGGTGTAAATAACTACTGTCTGTAGCATGAATCTTAAAAGGTCTTATTAATAAAAACAAACCTGAAGCCAGGTCCAGGTATTGGGGTGAAGCTAGAAGATCAGAGAAGCAGAACAAGCCACAGCCACCTCACCTTGCCAATTCCTCAGTTGATCCTGTTTCTTCAGACTGGAAGCCTCCCAGTCCTCATCTAGAATGAATCTCAGCTGAACTGTGCTGCTCAAAGCCTAAAAGCTTAACCAGCCTAGTTCCTGGTTTTCACACCTCATTTACCTTTCTGCTTTCTGCCCTCACTTCCTGGGATTAAAGGCTCACTTTCTGGGATTAAAGGCATGTGTCACTATGCCTGACGGTTTCCAGTGTGGCTTTGAACTCACAGAGATCCAGACGGATTTCTGCCTCTGGAATGCAATGATTAAAGGCATGAGTGTCACCATTTTCTGGCCTCTGTATCTAGTGGCTGTTCTGTTCTCTGACCCTAGATAAGTTCATTAGGGTGCACAATATTTTGGGGAACAAAATACCACCACAACTGCCCTGTAATCTCAGCTTCAATCCTCCCCTGATAAGCAGAGATTGGGGGAGGGGGGGAAGAAGTGAGAACACTACTAATAAGCAAGTAGAGAAGTATGATGGCTACATCTCGGATCTCAACTTGACCGGATCTGGAATCATCTAAAAGACAAGTATTTGACTTCTTCACTCTCACTGGCAAGCTCATCTGTTCTGTTGCTAGCACTGTTGCATATCTTCAGCCATAGCGGGACCAGATTCCCTGGTCTCCCAATTTAGGCTGAAGGCCAGCAGCTTCCAAGAAAATTCCAGTCTTCAGCACCAGATTGAGACTGCCAAGACATCCAGCCTCATGGACTGAGAAACTTGCAGATTCTTGGTCTCTCAGGGGTGAGTCTAGCTACTCCATGGTTGGACTAGCCAGACTACATCCTGTAAGCGAGCTAATAAATCCCCCTTTAATTCTAGTCTTCCTATCAGCTCTGTTCCTCAGGAGAACACTAGATAAGTTCTAACCGTCTGTAATTCTCTGGTTCTCCCCTATATGCTTTCAGCTTTGAAGGTTATTTGGTTAGTTTTGGTTTTCCCTGCCCCTGAGGTCACTTTTGTGGCTGTATCATAGGCAGCTAAAGATGGGGTTGGTTACAGAAGCCGACTCTCACTTTCTATGTTGGACTTTGTCCATGGTCTCTGAGATGGCTCTTGGACCTATTCAAGTGATTATAGTCATCTAGGCATTTAAAATTATTCAAGTAGTAAGTGATATATTTTAAACAAATTATAGATCTATTTTATTATTATATTTTTAACCACAGTAATTGGGAGTGCTGTTTCAATGTCAGAAATGGAAGAGACCGCTGTGTGTTAAGGTAATCAATATTTAAGGCCATTAAGTCTTCTTACAATATATTCAGATGGTCATTCCACAGCCTCTGGTAGGAGATTTGTGATTAACCATAAAAGCCAGTAGTAAATGTGTCAGCTTCCTGTGTTTTAATGAAGGTGCTGTAATATTTGTTCTGATTTCTGAGATCACTTTAGTTCTCTGGCATTTAGAAGCAAAGAAGAGCCCTCTTAATGAACACCAAAGCACATTTTCTCCGAGTTTCAATGTTTCCATCACTTGAAACTGGAGGTCAGCACTAGCTAAGAATTTATATGCTAAGATCTAACCTTATGAAGCCATCCATTTTTAATGTATAAAAATTAGCAATTTCATGAGTCACCCCTGTAGGGAAATGGAAGTATATAAATTATTTTTTAAATGTTTATAACTTTTAAAGGCCTAGATATGTCTGTTACATGCCACAGCTGACCTAATTTTCATCTGCTATTAACCAAGAGTTTTATATTGCACTAGTTTAATTCCCTTATGTTCTAAGATTATGCTACGCAATTCACCAGAGGAAGCAAACAGGTCGAACTTTCCAGAGTGGAAAGAATCTTACCACCCATTCAAAAATATTTCTTGACTACAGACTGTGCATCATATATTATGTTAAGTGCTGAGAAGATGCCAGTGAACAAGTCAAAGACTATGTCCTGGCTTTTTACTTAGTCCTATATAAATATTCTCATTATTACATTTCCTTTTTAGATTTTAGGAAACATTTAGCTCCTGGTTATTTTTCTTGTACTGATAAAATATTATTTATTATTTTGTGTACAATTATAACACCACAACTTTTGCAATTTATAAGTTCATGTTCTTCTTTATGTACCCCCTCATATTAATGTAGTAAAATAGACATAGAGTTGCCTTTTTAACCATTCTGATTGTATATTTATCATTAGGCATGCAAGGAAAATATTAAGCATATGTGCACTTAGCATGGTCAATGACTGGCACTGTCTAAGGGTGCCTCAAAAGTTCAAACCATAGAAAACAAATCCAGATCAGCATATCCTTTAAGAAACTGGCAGTCAGGGCATGGCAGCAAGTTCCAGATGAGTATTTCCCAACATGTTTGATCCTGAAATACATTATAATGTGGCAATGAAATACCAGCATGAGCTCACGAAATATAATACACATTTAAATTAAAGTGGGCAATAAAAATGGTGTCAAAGAAAGCATTACTGTTACTAAATATAATCAAAGTTTAGTCGATACCAAAAAGATGCACAATGGAGGCTAAAGATCATGGACTAGTATACACACATCGAAGATTCAAGTAAGCTAACAAATTGATTGTTAGTCATTTATCCTTCCAGAGGGTTGCCTACCACTTAATAAAGACAGACCTTAAAATAATAATAATAGAAGAAATGTGCTGGAATGTTTTTCCTGCATATACTTTTATACCCTTTTGAAGAAAATGTTGCTAATAGTAGGTTTGCGTTTTATTTTTGCTGAACCCATAAATAACTTAGGACAGTTTGGGAGCATTGCTCTATATGCCACACAAAGCTATAAAGGATTAAAAAAATGGGCCTTAGCCATGTGTGGCATGTCACTTAATTTTTTAAAAAAGATTTTATGAACACTGAGACTATCTTCCAATTTATGTGGTTGTGGCTGAGCTCACTTGCTTCTTTATCATATTGGGACATTAAACAGAAAGCTAAGTTGGCCAGTTAATTAATTAAGGACAGTTCCTTCTTTACATTATATACTCCAAGAACAAGATAATCAAGGCTTCCTTATTTACATCATGAATCAGCTCCTTTTTTAAACCCTTAAAGTACCTAGCATAGTACCTTGCATATAGTAGACATTTAATCAATACCTTTGGAAAAGAAGCAGTGTGGCCTAGTTAGGTCCTCCTGGATTAAAATTCTGACTTACCACCTGAGCAACCATAAGCAAGTTTGTTAATCTCAGGATTTGTTTATGATGGTGATAACTTGGGCTGGAAGACTGAACCCGGGGCCTTGAGCAGGGTAGGCAGCTGCCTTACAGTTGATATAAAATTGATGTAATTACAATAAATAAAATATACAAGGTATGAACACATAACAGAGATTCCATTAGTGTTAGAGGCCTTCCCTTACTTTATGTATAGTTCTTACACCAGAGTCAATCCTAAGGGAAAGTGATCCTTAGGGATGCTCAGGTGACCTTTTCTACCTTCCCCTTTAATACCCCTTCCCAAGTTTCACCCTGTTTTCGCCATCTTACACTGTTACGCCCCCTCTGGCTTAATACATTGCTGAAACGGGGCAGGGAGCTCAGACCTTAATTCTCTGCCTGTCTTTATCTTTCTCTAGCTATATATCTTGGTCAAGCTATTTGATTTGCTGGGGGAGGGATAGCCTTAGAAAATTTTATTTGGAGATTGGTGAGTAGTGGGAGGTAATTTAAAATCACTTTATATTCGAAATAAGTAAATAAAACAACAAGACCTCAGATCCCCGAGAGCTCACAATCACCTCTCATCATTAGAGATGTGTTGCTGAGACAGTCGGTGACCTTTGTGTGTTTCTCTCCCTTTTTTTCCTTCTTTCTTCAGCTCAGGAATTCTTTTAGCTCACCTTTCCTTCTATTCTCCCACCGAACTTCAACTTAACCTGATAAAGTAGGCTTCAGGGAAAACCTACTGCATATTGCCCAAGGCTTCCAGAGGCAATTTTCTGGGCACAAGCAATTAGCTGCCCTAGGCAAAACTGCACAGTAGGCAAAGCCTGCCTCCTCCCTCTCCTGCAGTACCCACCCCCTCTACCTGCAGGCTTCATCATCTGCCATCAGCCTGCCAGAGCACTCACACCCACCTACGGTTTTGACTTCTACCCAAGCCTCGTGTTCTAAACTTTTCCCCTCTTGTTCCCCCATAGAATGTTCTATTCCCTTTTGGGGTTAATCTCAGCTAGGTTATCCAAGGTGATGTTTTAAATTTTTTTTCTGATTGACACCCGCATTTTAAAGAATATGTTAGCATAAATAGTGAAATATTTATAGGCATTATTTTTTTAACTCTTACACCATCAAGATGCCCTCTGCTCACACTAGACTGCCAGATCTTGTTCGACTAGTTTCTATCTTTTCAAAAGAATAGAGGTCATTTCTTACACCCCCACTGAAGAACTGCCAAGCTCTGTGGTAAATCAATCAATAGCAATAGGGTTCTCTTAAGTAGCATGCAGGTCACCTCTTCCTCTATTACTCTTTCAAAACTGTTACCTCACTATCCCTCCATCTACTTAAGTCAAGGGTCTCACAATGGTTAAAGATTTCTGCAGGGCATTTAGCATGTTTTACTTGGCCATGTCATTGGGTTTGTAATAAGTAATAAGGTAGATATGACTCTTACCCAGGAACAAAAGCAATTGAGCATCCATTGAAATGTGTCTAGTTCACTTCACATACTTATGCTAATGGCACAGGGTTCTCTGGATGTGTGACCCCTGCTCCTTCTTCAACATCTCATCCAAGTCATCTTTTCTACAAAAGTTGGAGGATCAATTCTCTTCATACTTTCTAGCCAGCTGCCAGCTGCATTAAAGACAAACACCTAGAATTTATTCAGGAGCTCACAGTTTCATGCAGGTTTCCAATAGAACAGCTGGCTGCAAATACAATTCAAGGGAGTGGTCTCATGGTGGATATTTTACACTGTGGCACTGAGGAAGAGATATTTTGAGACTGGACTTTTCTGTGCTCCTAAATTGCCTGAGATGGGATGTGAACCTCCTTAAATGTAAAAATGCCTAGTATTAACTTACACTTCCCAGTGTCTCTGGGGTCAGTTTGTACCCTTATGTCTTACATATACACAGTGTCAAGATTTAGATAAACTTCCTGTGCATTATACATCATTGTGCTATTTCTCTTCCTCTCGTGTTTAAATTATTTAGACCATTGGACCATGGGCAGAACTCACTTTTCTGTTGTCTTTTCCTTCATCACAATACAATAAGTAATGGCAGGATATCCCACCCTCACTGTCCTCCAATGCCATGACTCTCCCCAAAGGGCCAGTGTGATAATAATGACAGTCATCACATAAAAAGGCATGAATCTAATGGCTTAGATACCTTCAGTGAACTCCTACATAATACTCCAAGTACTTGCTAACTGCGCCTCTTTGGACTCTAGGGTGAAAGGAGCTGATTGATATTCTTCTGAACTGCATCTTTTTGCTTACAGAATAATGGCAAAATTCCAGCATAATAATACTGGGCATTTCCATAATGCCCTTTTCACAGGCATTCATAGTGTTTTGCAAAATTTCTTATCCATTTTCTCAATATTAGATAAGAAAAGAGAGGAGATGATTGATTCTAGATGGGAAAGGGAGGATAGGAAAAGCTTGAATCAAAAAGAAAAACCCCTAATAATAATAAAGTGTGAGGCAGAAAGCTTAACAAGGGGCTCCTGACTCGGCACCTCATGTTCTTTCTACTATCCTCCTGATAGCAAAGCATTTCCCCCTTTCTTCTTCTGTCTGCTCTTCACTGGTACCAAGTGAATACTGAAAAGCAAAGGGAGAACATTAAGATGGCCCTTAGAATTGAATGTGAGCAGGAGGAACATTTAGAAGTCAGGATTTATTTTAAAAAAAAAGCTTCAAATAAGCCTATTTTAGAAAAGAAACCAATAGCAAGTCAAAAATTAGAGGAAAGTATGAAATTCTCACAAAACAAGCTGCTTCTTTGTGTACTCTAATGCTCTCATATACAAGGAATTGTGAGCTTGACAAAGGACCAGATTATGCTCAAATAGCCATGAAACAATCAGTGAAAATTATAACTCATTTAATAATTTCCTCAAAACAAACATACATTTGGCTGGAGTTACTAGGGATCATTCAGAGCTCTAAATTTGGGAGGGAAAAAATACTTAAGAAGCAGGACTGGAGATGGTGGTATACAGAATTACTGAAGCTTGAGTCTGATTTTTTTTTAAGCCTGTAAAAATAATTGGTGATGTAATAACAGCCCCAGGGACCTAAACTTTCCTCTCATATGTCTGAGGTGCAGGAAACACTGGAGAGAAAATAAGCCCATTAATAAATGACAAATGAGAGAAAAAAGATATTTTTAAATAGTTGGGCTACTGAGCTGTTTTTTGTTTTTTAAAGAATAGATAGTTTGGTAAGGAAGAAAAAAAAGGTGAGGAGGGGATCTTAGGACAGAGAAGGAACAATACTTGTCAGCAGAATGCTGATAAATAGCAAGCAAGGGAATTCAGTCCTTGCAAAAGTAAGGATTTTCCAAATCAGCAGACTTGGGGGATGTGTCTTCCAACTGGTGATGTGAAGGAACTGAGTAATTGATATTCCAGACCACATTTTCTCTTGCTTCTTCATCCAGCCAGGATGATCAAACCATATTATAAATCCCAGAAATGGATTTTACCTCATTCAGATAACCTGCTTTGCACTCTGATTTCTAACACTTTCAGACAATCCTGTATGATTTCAACAAATATTAATTGTACTTAAGCATACAAAGAAAAGAGACATTAACATCTTTCCTAAATCTTCTCCTTCACCTTGGGCTCCTCAGCTCCAACTCAGGGTTCCACCTGCCCTTCCTCCTGATCTCTGCACTTATCTATAAGCATAAAACTAAATATGTTTTTCTTTAACATGAGGCTTACCTGCCTTTGTTCCTAAATTGAGAACATAGAAGTTAAATTTTCTTGTACTTGAGCAAGCCAATCACAACCCAACCAAGCTCCTAGAAGGCTAAACCTTTTATGAAAAAAAAGTATTAATGAGAATTTCAATTTAAAATAATGTATGTGGTTAACATTTTGATTTACAAAAGGATGGATATATCAACAAAACTATGTGTTCCTCCCCAGTCTAATTCACCAGGCTGCTCTCCTGAAGCAATCAGTTCAATTATTTATACAGCTTATGTACTTTTAAAATACAAATATGTAAAAGCACAAAGCTCTGGTTTTAAATGTCGTTTTAAAGTTTGTCCCTCTAATATCAACACTTTCTCCGGGTCATATGGTAGTTCTGGTTTTAATTTTTGAGTTCCACAATGGCTATATTAATTTCACCCCCATTAACAGTGAATGAATTCCTTTCTCTCCACACTCTCTCCAACATTTGTCGTCAGATGTATTGATGCTAGGGATATGAAACATCTTTTAAAATGGTTATTAACCATTTGTATTTCTTCTTTTAAAAACCATTTCTTCCATTCCATTTGCCCATTTATTGATTGCAGTTTTATTTCCTTGGTATTTAATTTCTGTATTTCTTTGTAAATTCTGGATACCAGCCCCCAGTCTGAAGTGTAGCTGATAAAGACTTTCTCTCATTTTGTGGGCTGTCTGTGTGTTCTGATGACTGTTTCCTTTGCTGTACAGAAACTTAATTCTCATGGAGTCCTTGGTACTCCATGAGAGTCCATACCCAGAGAATGACATAACCTACTACAGAGATATTTGCACCCCCACACTTATTGCTGCTTTGCCAACTACAGAGAATTGGAATCAACTGAGTTGTCCATCAACAGACGGATAATGAATATTCAGTATATATAATTGAGTGCTGCTCATACAAAGAATACTGCTTTATATAAAAAATGAAGATAAATTTGCAGAAAAATGGATACATTTAGAACGTGAGGTCATACAATCAAAGAAAAGAAACTGCATGTTCTCCCTTATATATGAAATCTAGCCAATAATATTTGTATATAGCTAAATAAATATATGTATGGGTATAGTATAATATGAAGAACAGAGAACAAGAAGGGCTAAGAATAAGGTGACGAGGAAGGACTGAATGCAGGCAGTGGATACAAGTTATGAGAGAAGAAATAAGGCTAATTGTTTTTCTGGTTATGATTCTGTCATGAACTTTTTGGTTTTGGTGATAGATAAGTGCATAAAATATATTCAATGTTGAAACTACAAAACTGAATGTGACATTCCATGCCTATTTTAACTGTAGAGTTCATTGAGTTTTAAAATCTTGGAATCTAGTTATTTTTGGTGTGTGGCCTTTTAATTATTTGCAAGGGTTTCTTTTCTTTTAGGGTTGTTTTTGGACAGTGTCTATGTAGCCTTGGCTGTCCTCAACTTCCTCTGTAGACCAGGCTGACCTTGACTCACAGAGATCGGTCTATTTCTGCTTCCTAGTTGGATGTGCTCATAGATGTGCTACAGTCACAGGTCTGCATCACAATGCCCTGCTTGCAAGTTTGTTTTTGTTTTTTATAATAAAGTGTAGGAAAAAAAAACACTTTCTCTTAGGTAGTGTTCCATATCAGTACACAGAAGTCCTTACACTAGCTATTTAATTTGTCATTTTATAATGAATTCTTATAATTAATACAGTAAGTTTCCTATATTGGATATGTTGATTCCTTCCTAACTTTTGATTGTTACAGTGAATTACACTATTTATGGATTTGTAAAAGAAAAAAACAACAACAATCAGAACATACTTTTACTCAGGGTTAAATTTAAAGGGATAATTCATGTGAAGATATTTAGAACACTTGGGACATATTAGTTGTTTTCAGTACATGTTAGGTAAGTAAATGTGCTGTGGAATAATCCTTATGTACAGTATGAATATATATTACTCTCATTGGTTAATAAAGAACTGACTGGCTGGTAGCCAGGCAGGAAGTATAGGTGGGACAGCCAGACTGAGAATGCTGGGAAGAAGGGTGGAGCCAGTCAAATAGCCAGCCAGATGCAGAGGGAGCAAGAAATGAATGTGCCATGCTAATAAAGATACCAACACGTGGCAGAGTGTAAATAAGGAATATGGGTTAATTTAAAATGTAAGAGCTAGCTAGTAACAAGCCTGAACTATTGATTGAGCATTTATAATTAATATAAGCCTCTGTGTGTTTAATTAAGAGCGGCTGTGGGACAGGAAAACCACCTACATGAATGAATGAATGAAATGAGTGAACAAATCCGACAACAATATTTCAGTTTTGCTTCTTGTCTAATAGCTGTCTCCACCCACTGGAAGGAAAGTAGAGATCAGTCTTCACTGTTGTAATTTCTTTGAAAGGTTTTGTTTCTGTTTTTGTATTTGTTTTTTGCAGAGATCAGGTTGGACCCGAAGGCCTCACCCATGCTAGACAGGTGCTCGACCACTGTTCTCTTCTCCAGCACAGAGGTCAGTCTCGTAGGCCTCCCTTCAGCACTGCTAAATTCCTAGAGCTGGAATAGGGCCCATCAATTGAGGATGCTTAAATAATTTATTGATCAATGAATAAAGATTGCCAAGCATCGTTCTTTCATGTGTGATTTCAAAGCAAAGGAGCCCATTTTAAATGAAAATATAGCCTTCTTGCAAGTGATATTATTTGCAATTTGATCTGGAGAAAAGTACAAAGCCATACCCAGACAGCTGCGGGCCTCGGGCTCCCCAGCCCTTGCCTGCTCAAGATAATCCTGCTTGAAAGGAGACTGCACTATCAGCTGCCTTGCATATCATTATAGACAGAAATCTTGAGAGTGGTTTTAATTACATTTAGACAGAAAGAATAAGGTATAACACCTACACAGTCCTGCCTCTTAGTCTGAGCTTCAGGGAAATTGCCTTAGTCGTCCTGCCCAAAGATGAGCCTGTTAGAGAACCGAAATTTATGAATGAATCACCATTTTCTAAAGCAGACTGAAGTGCAGTGAAGGTTTCTTTACAACAAACACTACATTCACTAGTATTAATTTCTTAGATTGGTGAGAACAAAATTAAGAGATATCTCAATACTACATATACCAAGGGTGTATGCATAGGAGAATGTCATCTGTCCCAGGTATAATCAGAGAGAGAAAAACATTGACAGCCACTAGTCTAGACTAGGGTTTTTAAGGTCATGTGAAAACAGTGTCCAGATTTCTAAAGCTGCATAACTACCTACCTGGGACAACCAAGGTATTAAGTTTGGGGATCGTGCTGTAACCCAGATAATTTGGGTTAAGCCTCACTTCGCCCATTCTCATATTCAAAGACCCACGGCTGGGGAGTCCCAAAGTAATCATTAGTACTCTCTTCATTCTTCATTCTTTTGGATTCTTGATAGCAACTCTAAAGAGAAGAATGCGCTCTGAATACAGAACACTCATGTTTCAGTCCTTTTCCCGTACTGTCTCCAGAACAGCAGCTGTTCCTGAAACACTCTTTTTTAACCTACTTGATTTTTTACAAGACTCTCTGTGTGTGTGTGTGTGTGTGTGTGTGTGTGTGTGTGTGTGTGTGTG